TTTTTTTTTTTTTTTGCTCTTTCCTTGATTGTCATTTTCAGACTTAGAGAAAAAACTGAAGTACAAATGGATCACAGACCTGAATCTGTTGTACTGGTGAAAGGACTCAACACTTTCACGTTGCTCAATTTTTTGATCAACTGCAAGAGCTTAGTTGCTACCTCCGGTGCACAGGCAGGCCTCCCTCCAACCCTTTTATCCCCGGTAGCCTTCCGAGGTGCCTCGATGCAAATGCTTAAGGTGAGCAAGGATGTCCTTCGCCTGCAGGCGGTTCTTAGTACAGGGTTCCACTCCTGTGTAGCCCTGACTGCCCTGGAACTGCCTCCATAGGCCACTCTGTCTCCTGAGGCCTGGGATTGAAGGCATGTGCCACTATGCCTAGCTCAAATTCCCCGTTTTGAAAAAGTAATCCTAGGGACTAGGGAGATAGATGCCTCAGCATTTAAGAGCATTTGCTGCTTTTGTAGAAGACCCAACTTGAGTTCCCATCACCAACATGACCATGGCTCACAGCCATCAGTAAGTCTGGCTCCAAGGGGGTCTGATGCCCTCTTACCCCCACAGGTACCAGGCACAATGGGGTGGCTACACCTTTAAACCCAGCACTTGGGAGGCAGAGGCAAGCAGATCTCAGTGAGTTCGGGAAAAACCAGGGCTACATAGTGAGACACACACCCCCTGCCTAAAATTTATACTTGGGAATTTTTTTAATTGTTGTAGTATGCTTTGCACTTTGTTTTTTCTATACTAAGACTGAGCTAGGGTTTGGGGCATATTGACACACTGTATGCTGACCTACATTCCCAGTAGTTTAGTTTTTGCTTTCCCCATTAAAAATAAATATTATGTAAGAGCTTGTGTGGTGGAAGGATGATCACCTGGGTTACCTGAGACCCTTTCTCAGAATATGTGTACTTTATTATGTATCTATTCTATGACTTTATCATATGACATAATCCAATCTAGCCTTACACTCACTGTAGCAGAGGGTGACCCTGAGTTCTTGACCCTTTGCTACCAAGTGCCAGAATTACAGGCCTAAGCCACTGTGCGCGCTGAATTTTGGTTTTCTCCCCCCACCCCACCCCACCCCCGTACTGGATAAATTATAATGGCAACATTTTGGTGTTCCCTACATTTGTCATTTAAGCCGTCTAATCCCGTTTTATGTATGTACCAATGCAATCACACACCCAAAAGTAGTTATAGATCTCAAAAACAGGGAACGTGAAGCAACATGTTAAGTATTATGTAACCATCTCAGGAAACAAAAGTAGTTCGTGTTTCCTATCAGAAGAAACCCTGAATAAAAATGCACCAGCCACATCTTCAGCTAAGGGACAGATTGAGTTATGATCCTAATTGCCTTTTTCTTTCAATTTTCTGAAGGCACGAAGCATTAATGTAAAGACACAAGATCTTTCTGGGTACAGAGACAAGTTTAGCTTGGAGATCACAGGTCCTGTCATGCCTCATGCTCTGCAATCTGTGATCATGCTACTCAGATCTTCACAGAGAGGGTCATTCTCTGCTGGGATGTATGCACATGAGCCAACTGCTGCATTCAATGTCTGCCTGCCGCTGGAGAAGGAACCGCATAGAGTAAGTAGTCTCAATTGTAGCTTGTGTCCTCCTGCTGGGAGAAATGTCACTCATGATAGGCCACATTTGTATCAAGCTAGAAAGCAAATTATGAATTAAGGAATAGCCACATGTACATCATAAAATTTATGAAATCAGGCAATACCAAAACTGTCCAAACCTAACAAGTTCTTACTGCCCTCACAACTGAAGTTTAGTAATGCCTGGTTTCTTTGTAGTTTATGGGAATGCAGTTTACTACATCTAGCTTTTCCCTGTTTTTCATGTATTTAATCATCTTTAGACTTTAACAACAGTCCTTAATGGACCTGGTACCTGTCACATTTGAAGGTCTTGTAACCATGATTAAGTGACTTTTACTTACCAGTCTGTATGGTGATTAAAAACTCGGGGTGGAAGAACTAATGTGTTTATGGATGTGTACTTGTATTTCTGCAGAAAGATGCTCCTAAGGACCTTGCTAACTGTGGGCTGCACCCCAAAACCCTGCAGCAGCTCAGTCAAATACCACTACTGGGGAAGTCATCCTTAAGGAATGTGGAAATGAATGACTACATTTTTAATTGGAGATCCTGAACACCAAAGTAAGCCTAAAGGGAAACTGAGGAAAAGCTTCCTAGCAAGGAAGGAAATTGATGATTCTTAGGTCTCTGGCTCTTTAAAGTTCATTTTGGAAGACTATGTTTTAAAATACTGAAATGTTTTTAAGCATTGACTTTTTATATGAACTTTTATTATTAAATGCATTAGTTTTAGGTTTAAAAATCAACATTTTGCTTTTGTTATTTTCATACATTTTTAGTTCAGGAGATGCGAGCTGTTTCCTTAAACCTCAGATAACTTGAATGACAATTCTATATCTGCAACTTGATTGTAACCTGAGTAGAGAACTGAATGAAGTGTTGCATTACAGATGAGGAATTGACATTACCTGTGTGTGTATATACACAGCACTTAATCCATTGAGACTGATGGTCCTTAGACTAGCAGTGGGTTCTTTGGAGACTTGGGAAATGTAGACCTGACTGCAGCCTTGACATTAATGATTTCTCCGGTATCCACTCACACTGTTCTTCTGTCGAGTCAGACAGAAGTGTTGGATGGTCAGTCTGGGCATCTTAGTACTCACTGTGCTTACAGGTAGTCTGTGTGTTTGCATGTGTATGTAAAAATCAGCATTTTCAAATAAACATGCATAGAAATCACAAGTATTGGGTAACAAATAATAATACTTAGTTATATGTGTTCCATAAAGCCAGAAAATAAGACACCACATTTATTCCAGAGAAGGTTGTATTTGGGCCTTAAGCTTTTGAAAATAAAGTTTAGAGACATAGCATATGAATACCACTGTAATACACATGAATATTCTATCAGACCCTAAAAAATTAACATCAACTTAAATTTTCTCATATTCAACAAAATAGTGGCTGATTGCCAATTTTTATTAGGTAAGTTGGTTACAGCGTTTTTATTTACGTCTATCTAGGTGTAGCTGCAATTCAAAATGCACATCAAAGTAAAACTATATCACAACTCAAGCCATACTAAATATGTACTTGGCCTCTGAAGTAAATTCTAGTTGGACTTCCATTCACTCCCTTCTTATGATCCAAGTGGCTTTAATGGGAATGCAGGACTTAGTGCTGATCATGACACAACAGATCACTTTCTTTTCATAACCTCTACAAAAATTTAAGGGGGGGATGGTGGCATTAGCCCTGTGGAACAGATCTTGCTTCATTACTTTAATAACACTGGCCCAGTATCTGTCCAGCAGAACCCATTGTGAAATAGTACAAGGTGCACAGCCCTTCACTGATTACAGGCAAGTGTTACAGTAGCCTAGCCATAAGGAAGGGGAGTTACATCATAGTACAAAATACAGTATAAAAGCGTTATTTAACATTCCACACTGAATATTACTGATGCCTTCAAACAATTGTTTTGATGTTAGCCACTTAAACAAATACATCACTAAGGTAAACAATATAAACATACCAAAACCCTGTATGGTTAAATACAATTTCCATGGTACAAAAACCAAAGCCTGGAGATGTTTGTACAGATTGCTTTTTACACAATGTCTTAAATTGTGAAATATTTACAACATTAAGGAGGAAATACATTGTGATGCAGAGTAAAATTATCTGAAATGATTAATATAAAACCTCAATCTATCTACGTGAGGCACTCCTGAAGCAAGTGGCATTAGCCATGAGGTCCTTTGGTACAAGGCCCATTGCTTGAAGAACCACAGTAGCTGCTGTGGCTTTAGCATGCTTCTTATTAGGGCTGGCAAAGCTGGGCTGGTAAGCGCTTCCATTAATCAATACCTATTCAAGAAAAACATACAATTGGGCTGGTAAGGGCTTCCATTTCTCAATACCTATTCAAGAAAAACATACAATAAGAACAGCATCAAACTTTAATATCTATTAGCTTTGTACTTTTTCACTAAATTCTATAAATAACTTACAAATTATAAACCCCAAATTAAAATTAATCTCAGCCCAGAAGCAGTAAATGATTTTTAAAAGGAAACTGCAAAATAAGTGCAGGTTTCCGCATCACTTCCAAAGTACTAATTACACCCCCCCACTCCCCTAGAAAATATCAAGTGTTATTTTGCCTATGCCCCCCATTTAATTTTATAATTCTTAATTATACATTAAAGTACCCCTCCAAGTTAAAAAACCCACTCTTCCCACATATATGCACATCTGTAACCCACCCACAGAATATTAACACTGGTTGTATCACACCTATCCCTTAGCCCTCTAATACTGATAAATAATTAGTATATAAGTTCATATTTACCCTAAAGAGAAAATGTTTGCGATGATCTGGGCCACTATCATGGACCAAGAGAAATTCAGGTGGTTGCCACCTTCTTTTATTACAGATTTCCATCAAGGCAGACACAGGATGTTTGCCTGTAGAGAGAAAAACAAGTATTATAAATATTTACACCAATTTTCCAACAACTTTATGATTTCATGGTATGAGTAAGGGTTTTGTTCTCACCTGATAAGTCTTTCATTGCAGCAGAGAAGTTCCCAGACCTTTTCTGTGCTCTCTCTCCTACTGCAACAAGACCTATAAAAAGGAAGCCAAAATTTACAATTAGTATTTTAAAATTATAATAGATGGAAAAAATACCTCCTCCTACTAAAACCAAATACTCATGCCTTCAAATAAAATAAAAGTGGACTTTAGTCACAGAGCACTGTCACAAAGATCTGAGTCTGAACCCCATCAACAAATTCTGAAAAGCCAGCAGTGTTGGAACACACTTGTAATTCCAGCACTTGGGTGACAGGTGGGTCCCTGGGGCAAGTGAGACCCTGTTTCCAAAGTCAAGGTGGATGGTGCCTGACATCTACCATGGGATATTCATCTCTAACCTCCATTTAAGTGCACACTCAGAGAAGGGCCATGTCACTGCCAGCATCTCAGTCTTTTTTCCTACAAGTTTAAAGAGTGGAAACTACTAACTACAAGTATCTTTACAAATTCATCTTTTAAAACAGGATGAAGTTAAAAGTATGGTCCCCACAAAACAAAGGCACACACAGTGAAAAAGCAAGTGTCCCAAAAATGAGACCCTGCATCTTTAACAAATGCAAGCCCCTCCCTAATTACCAACCAGTGCAATTTCCCACTTTTTGTCTTTAAAAAGCAAACTTTTCAGCCACTCTATTGCTAGAATATAAACCTCCCTCTGTCTAAAAGTTCACACATTATGTTGAGTAATTTCAATGTGGATACTTCCTAGAATTACACAAAACCGACTGGATTCAGATAGTCTACTCCCACTGATCATTGAACTTCAAAAAAAAATCCAGTTTCTAAAAGTCATGTCTAAATTGTATATGGTAGCACATGCCTATAATCCAAGAATTTGAGAAGTCTAAGAAAGTAGGATTGGGGGGAGCGGGCTCAAGGCTAACCTGGGCTATATGATAGATGTCCCTTTTGTTTTTCCCAGATGGGGTTTTCTCTGTGGCTTTAGCTGTCCTGGAACTCACAGAAATATGCCTGCCTCTACCTCCAACTTTTTTTTTTTTTTTTTTTTTTTTTTTNTTTTGCTCTGGTTTTTTGTTGACAGGTTTTCTTTTTGTACCCATGGCTATCCTAAGTCTTGCTCTATAAACCAGGCTGACCTCAAACTTAAGAGATTTGCCTGTCTCTGCTGGGATCTAAGGCATTCACCACCAGGCCTGGCCCCTATCTTAAGTAAAGGCTTACACAAGGAATATGAGCTACCAACCAACATTCAATGCCCACTAGCTAGCTGTTAACTTTAGTTACTATGTGCATATTTCTAAAACAGCTAACAGAAACAACAATTCCAAGGTCCCCAATAGGAGGTAATGAAGAAATAATACTGCCGACTGCAGCTCATCTGTGATTTCACCCACAACACAAAAATCAAGTAGAAACTTAAAAAACTAAAGTGTCTAAGAAAAAAAAAATCACACCTTAGAAATAAAGGCAAACAAACGAACCAAGGACTGTGATGACATAGGCCTGTAATTCTAGCTCTCAGGAGACAAGGCAAGTTCAAGGCATTCAAGGCCCAGCAGAGACAGGCAAAAATACAGACTGTATCAAAAAACCACCAAAAAAGCTAGACAGATGGCTCAACAGTTAAGAGCACTGGTCTTCCATGCATCCCTGCAGCTCACGACCATCTCTAATTTTAGTCCCAGGATCCAATGCCCTCTCTGGGCTTTATGGGCACTGGTATATGTTGCAAAAACATACATGCAGAAATAGCAGACCCCTATATATAAATCATTTTAAAAAAATAAAATAGACAACCAAATAATGGCCAAGAAGATGTTTCCACAAATAAGGGTGCTTGCCAGTCATGTCTGCACAATAAATAAATGTAGCAAGAAAAAAAAAAGAAAACAACCAACCAAAAAAACCTAGCAACCATACCTGGTAATCTCCATTAAGAACAAAAGAAAAATTTTATTAAATTTAAATATTCAAAACGCACAGATTTTCATAGAACTACCACAGTGCAAGTTATCAAACTAGTATCTTCATCAACAGAAACTGCGTGGGTGAGAACTGTGTTAAAGGTTCTCCAGCAAAGAGCTATTCATTATTTGTCTCCAGTCCATGGGCATTAGGACCAAAATAAGATAAAAACAAAAGACAATGGGACTCAAAATATTTCAAAAGAACTTACCTTTCCGGTCTGTCTTAAAATCAACGAGGATGGGTTCCTTATTTCCTTCTTTGTTCTTTCCTAGCCCTTCTCCTTCTCTCCAGCCCATTTTTCTCATCAAGACAGCACCCATTCCTCCAGTTACTGGAGCTGCTCTTAAAAACTGATCCTATCCAAAGAAAAAAAGGGAAAAGGCCCCCATTTTACAGTTAGAACTGAACTACAAGTTAAATCTTCCTTTACTTCTAGATCAGTACCATTAAATTGAAACTCTACTATGCTTAGTACATTCTGTAGCTTATGTTCTAGTAATAATTACCAACACTTGAAAGTCAAATGGCAATTTTAACAGTTGCCCCTCGGTGCCCCCCTCCAAAAAAAAAACAACAACAAAAAGAGCACTCCTGTTTTCGTCCACTATTTAGGTTCACTGGTATCTCTTCTTAGCTTGTAAAATAAAAAGAAGGCAATGTTAAAACAGTCAATATTATTATCTCAGGTATACCTAGTTTATGAATAAAGCCTAGAAATTATTTTAAAATAGTTTGAACACTGAAGAAGCATACAGTTGTCATCCAGTTTTCTTCCCCATTCTACTATAAAGCAAGTATCAAATTTTTTAAAAATCCCTATAAACAGAATAAATTAACATGTAGTAAGTTATAAGCACATCAGATACCCTGAGTATACCAAATCTGAATGCTTCTAAAACCTGGCTTGATGTTAAGAGACTTAAAAAACTCCTTAAATGTTTACATACCTAGGCCTCGGTAGCAGCAGTGTTGTGAATAGTACGGCTGGCACTGACCGGGGCAAGAAGACAGCTACAAGGATTTGGCCCTGAAACAAGTTTCCATACAGAGGGGTGAAAGTTCACAGGTTATTCTGTGAACAATCATCTCTCTCGTATCCAACCCACTGAACCATAATTTCCATCAAAGCAGCAAACCACTTAATGTCCTGAGCTGCACAACTATGTGCATTAGCACGGTCAGCAGTCTTGGATCTTCCAGCTGAGAAATGGCCAGTGCCTCTTGAAATAGGTATCAATGCACATTCTATCAGTTATGAATTCTGCTGTTGATCTAGGTGGGGTTTTTCCTTTTTAATTGAAGCATCTCTAAACGTTTTATTTCAGATTATTATAACATTTTACATTAATATTCTCTGCCAAATATATTCTAAGTCATTACAGAGTCAAATGTTTAGTAGCTCAGCAAGCAGGTATGCATTCTTTTTCCTTCTCAGTAAGCTGATCCTTAAAAGTTATATTTTGTACACTGCAGTAAAATATATAAGCTTTGTTTCCCAGCTTTATAATTAAATGTTGGGGAGAAAATATGCCAAGGACATATGACTAGACATTAAGTTCAACAAGGTGCTCTGATGGAAGGAGGCAGCTGTGGAGGTAAAAACATACCCCTGGTTCAGTTCCTTATTTGGTGCAGGCCATGCATTGTGGATGTATAAAGAGAAAAGTTAGCTGATGCTTGGGTCTCCACTGCCTTGATGCTACACACCTAGAATGACTATACTTACTTCAGGTTCATCTCCCCTCTTTTCCAGGTAACACTCCTAAAAAAAAGGGCAACTGTACAGACAGAGTACAATATAAATCCCCATGTAGCCCAGTTTTCCACTTTTGTTTGCTATATTAGCACCTGCCTCTTTACCCAGTGTAAAAAGCTATCTTGATCTAATGAGACCACAATAACCAACATTTTTTATGAAATTAAAACCCAAATAATTTTGAGAACATAAAGGTCCATTAAAATTAATGAAGTTTTAAATGTCTTACTGATAAATGAGATTATAAATGAAACAAACTAAAGAACACAGGGTATTTATTAGTTGGTATTCCCTATGGTTTTTAATAGGTGACAGTGCTGGGCCAAGAAAAGCCAAATGGCCATTTCAACATTTCCTAAACACAATGGGTGTAGAAAAAGTTTGAAAAATGACTCGTAAATAATGCTCCTCCAGTTTCCATCCAGATACTCTACCCAGTAATTCACAATACGATCATTTTGCTATTGTTGATTCCTTCTATAATGTAAGAATTTGCTTCCCAGATTATATCCTATATAAAATGTAAAGCTAAATCATTTTCAAGGTTCTAGTAAACAATAACTACTTACAAGCTGAAAAACAGCACAAATCTATTTATGAGACGGTGTTAGGGAGCCACTTAAGTGCAAACTCACCTTGGAAATTCACTTATGTTTATCTGCTCTTTACACATACACAGAGAGCAGCACATTTCACAATGGAAAACCTTCCAGAAGCTTCTACCTGGCAATGCACATGAACTATTACAAGCATAAATACTCATAAATACCAAACACTGAGCTTCGGAACCAAATAAATGAAACATGACTGAATGTGTGACTTTCGAAAACTTGCTTACTACCTAAAACTGACGGCCCCAGTTTTAATGCCCAGTGTCAAAAAAAAGTAAACAATTCCTCCCCACTAAAATGAAATCTACTTTTCAACTATCAACTTCTATAATTTATATGAAGTATTAGTATATAAAATTAATCTAATCATTAAAAATATTGCTAGATAATCCCTTTTCCACCCAAAACCAATGCCTAGGTACATATGCGTGCAACTTTCTTAACAGGGGAAAGGCAAGCACAATGAAGTTGTGTAAAATACCTTATATTAATTAGTTAATAAGAGAACCACAGGAAATGCTTGCTATAAAACTGTTATGATATTAAATGTCCAAAGCAACCAAAATTTTCTTTTTTGAAAACTTCAGCTCATCCATGAGTAGCACTCATTCCAATTCTACAAGTAATAAGATGCCCATCACATCACTGATTACCATTGTTGGAGACATTAATAAGAACCTGTCTCCCACCACTTGACACTTGGGAGACAAAAATTCCAAGGAATTACTTGCCCACGATCACACAAGGAGTCAGGAGTACAGCAGGACAAAGAAACCTTCCCAATCCAAGAGACCACGCAGCCTCCCAGTTTCAGCTGCTGCTGCCAGTACTCCTGAAACAAATTTCTCATCACCCATCCAACCAAACCACAGCCCGTCACCAAGCATCATTGCTTCAGAATACCCCCTTTTAACCACCTAAGACTCCCCCAACAATGAGGTAGCCGTAGGTAGAGTTGAAAAATCTCATTGCAGGAATCTGAGATCAGGTGCACCTACATCTTCGTAGCATGAGATGTCCGTCCTCTCCCTTGATTTTAGGTCTTACATATCCTGTTTTTTCATGAAGTCAGTGGTTCCCAAATTGAGCCTGTGGATCACCAGAGGCCACCAGGACCTAAATGGTGGTCCACAGATAGTTATCTCCAGCCCACCCCACCCTCTTACCCCCCTTCACAACTGCCCACCCCACATTCCACAACCATCCTCCTCCCACCTTTCAGTCCCATGGCAAGTTTACCACATGCAGTATTAATTAGGGCCTCCCAACCACTTCATTAGATCTAATAGTTGACCACCATATAGGGACCTGGGGCTAGAAGTCATAATAGGAAGGTAGGAGCATAGGTATTTATAAGCGGGTGCAGGCACTAATGAGAGGACAAGGATAGAGGAATGGAATATTAGGGTGGCAAAGGGCTCTTGGGGGTAGTGATCCACCAAAACTAAACCTGTAATAAAGTATCCCGTGATGAAAATGTTTGAGCACACTGCTCTGAAATGATTAGGTTAGTAGTCCAACAGGAACTGCGGAGGATTCTGAACAGCACCTGGTACAGTTAGCATTCAAAACAGTTAAGTAGAACCACCCCCACTAAAACCAACTGCAAAATCATGAAAAACAACCACCTCCAGATATAAAGTGAGTGGCTCTCGAGCCGTATGTGTGCATTTGGCATTGTGTCAGGATTTCAGCCCATCTTCAGTGTCCATCCTGGAGCATATACACATAGTAAAACTTACTCAGGAACTTAGGTTAGTCACTTGCCTCTCCATTTTTAAGGTATGATTATCAAAAAAACAACAACAAAAAACTCAGCTTCTTATTTTTTGATAGTCCGTGTACCTTTTTAATCCAGGCTTGGGCACCAGTATTAGCCAGCTGTTCCTGTGTTAGGACTTGCACTCCTGTACTTCCTGTGAACTGCCCAGGGATAGAGTTCAACTGAGCCCAGGCATCAATCTGAAGAAAAAAAAGCCACCATCTTCAATAAGTAAAAGTACTGATCTGATGAAAGCGCCACACTGGTAGTTTAATTCACTGAGGAAAAATGGTTTGGTTGCTGAAGTAGCCAAATAATGATATATTTAAAGTTCAAATAAGTTTTAAAACATTCAGTGAAATCTATTAACGCAAAAGAAGGTATGAGGGTTCGAGATGAAAAATGTAGTTCTTATGGCCAAAGATCTTTGCCTTTGTCATTTGACGTATCATACAAATGAATCCAAATAATTGCCATGATCATCTAAATCTTTTGCGAATCCTGCGAGATATTAACTATTATCTACCAATGGCATAGTACAGAAAATGGTCAAAAACAGAAAAAAATAGAGCACATCGCTCACCTACTGTGCTGCAGAATCAGGTATCTTTCATGTTGCATGTAATGCATTACCTGTATTACCAGCAATGTTACTTCCTACCTAAACTGTTCCTATATAGATTTAGCATAAAATGAAAAGCTATTTCCTTCCTGTTCAAAGTAGACTCTGATTCATTATTATTTGGTAATGAACCCCACTTCTACTTACGAGTTGTGGGTATCAGCTGACTACTGCTTAGCTCGGTTTGCTTAGCTGAAACAAGGAGTAATGGTAATACCTCATAGAGTTATTCTGGGCACCTATGTGCAGATCAGACTGTAATCTCTTGAGGGATTTATTTTCTATTTTGTTCTCAAATAGTTCTTTCCATAGTATGCAATAAACATTTTCTTAGTCTAATTAGGTCTAAGTCATTTTTATTTCAAATAAGTCAGCAATTAAGACAGAACAAAGTATAACGAATATCAATATAAAACAGCATATGTAGACTGAGTCCAGTTCTCCACTAACACACACCTGAAAACGGTAATGGTTTCTCACAACTACTGTTGTAATGAGTCAGATATCTAGAGAGTAAAATTCTCATTTAATCATTATAAAAGTCACATACCCGTTCTTGAGCTCGATTTAACATACTCATGGCTTCAAGGTCAAATGCATTCTCACTGAGTCTCTTCTGAGCAAGTGCCCGTTCACTCATTGCTGTTGAGATGTCCACAGGCTAAGAAAGAAAACATAGATAATTATCCAAAATTACCACAGTCCCCTAATTCTCTCGGGTGCTTCTATGTCTTTAGATGCTACATGTAAAAAAATAAACCATAGTCTATATAATTAAGATTCTTGGAAAATGAGAAGATTCAAAGGGCAAAGAGGACACTCCTGGAAAATAGAAGACAATTAAGGTAAGTTAGTTGTCAAGTAGTATTCAGAGGCAGAACTCAGTCCAAATTCTGATTTCATCAGCATGTTTTCTATAATATCAAACTAGAACCATTGAGTTTCATTATGAACTCATTATCGGTAGCTTTACTAACAAGCCATTTAAATGGTACCGGTTTTTTTACTTGTTTGTTTTTTTTTGGGGGGGGTGGGGGGGGTGGGGGGTTCGAGACAGGGTTTCTTTGTGGCTTTGGAGCCTGTCTTGGAACTAGCTCTTGTATACCAGGCTGGCCTCGTAGGTTTTTAATGGTCTAGTTGATTATTAGTGTAACTTCAGAAGCAGTAAGTGAGGTCCGTGGATAAGCAGCAGAACACCACTAGTCAATATAACTCTACTCATAGCAGGGTTCCCGGAGCACAGACAGGAATGGATAAGCTTTGATCCTAAGAACCCAGAAGCTCAAAAAATTCTAGTCAGTACGTAGTTATTTTGAAGTACATACATTTATTACCATAATCTAGAATTAACACTGGTTTTTAAAAGTGTTAAGTCTTCCCCCAAAATCTTGTCATCTACCTTTGAAAACTTAGGCTAAAGTTCATGGGGAATAATTGAATGGTTAGCATGGGAGGTAGGTCACCACATCACAGATTTCTTATATACAATGAAAGCATAACCTCCTGTGCTAAGCAGGTGACAGATTTAAGGGCTTAACCACTTTATGATGAAAACAAACTGAGTTTTATGAACTCAATATTCTCTTCTAATATCATTTAACATACTATTATTTTCCAGTAATTTCACATAATAAATTTTTTTAAAAAGTGTTTAATACAAAGGCTTACTGTTTTCACATAAATAGGTATTGTATGGACACTGCAAATGAAAGTCAGTAAAGCAGCTTTTAAAAAAAATAGAAGCTAGCAATAATCTCACTGTGTACTGTGTATAACTGTTACAAAAGTAAATCTATATACCAATGGAAGGATCAAGTATCTTTTTCCCAACTTCAAATCTGCTTACGTATCATTCATTCTAAGTTATCTTGACTGAAATTGTCTCACGACTCCTTTCACTAACAAAGTATACTTTTCTGGCTTAAAATGAAAATAGATAAGTAAATAAATAAATAAACATAATTGATGCCCATTAGACTATTGTAAATGAAAGCTCTTACTTGCTTAGTTAACAGTATTATTCCATGCTTAATATTTAGTTTTAAGGTCTACAAAAATGAGGACAGCCTATGTAAAGTCACACCAAAATACTATACTCATTTATTGTGAGTTAATTCCTGGGACTCAAATCTCTTCCAGGTAATTCCTAAGTCTTTCAATGTGAATATAGTGTTTTCAGACCAAAATTTATTATTTCTTAGGCCTACCTTAGATGTAAAGTTACTTGAACTGTCAAGTAGAATTATCTTGTAGATATTTTTGTCTGTGCAGACCCACCAAACAACCAAATGAGACACATACCATTTTTGCATTACTCTTCTTAAACTTACTTTGGCTTCAGAGCAATTTGCAAACCTAAGTGATGGGTGCTAAGTCATAGTAAGTTTCTATTCTTGAAAGACACTGGGGGAAATGTCTACTCATTCCAATCAGAACCTTTCAATATCCAACATAAAGTTCCAGCTTCATAGCCATAAAATACACTGAGCTCTAACTAAATCTAAGTAAAACAAAAAAATTTACCTAAAAATCTGTCCTTTACTGGCCTGTTTACACTACATTTTTCTTGTAAACTTGATTGAGAAATAACTAAAATACTCCTTCTAGAGCCCAAAAGAAACTCCTTTAAGCCTCAGTATTATTTCATATTAAATTAAATACTTCATATAAAAGACATGTTTAATATACCAACCTTGATGTTTAAATAAGTGACAACTATTTCCTAATCAACTGCATTTATTTTTTCAAAGGCTTAGCAAATCATTAAGTTTATATAAAAAAATTCACTTATTTCCTATTTTATGTTGATATATATCAAAAATTGAGACAGTCTAGATTACCTTAGGTTGGGAATATAGCCCAGCTGTAGAGCACTTGCCTAGCATGTACAGAACTACGAGTTTCATCTCTAGCTTCACAAAAGGAGGGGGTTTAACATCTACAAGAGTTTTATTCAGCTTTTCAAGGTAATTCATATTATATGCTAAGACGTAAAGCACTAACTAAACTGCAGTCCCCAAAGCATTAATAGTCAAGATTCTGATAAAATGTTACATAGTCTCATTAAAACACATAAAATACAATAGCTAGCTGGGCATAGTGGTACACAGTTTTATTTCCAGCATTTAGGAGGCAGAGGCACATAGATCTAGGTTCAAGGCCAGCCTAGTCTACATGAGAGAGTTCAGGCAAGCCAGAGCTATGTAGAGACCCTGTCTTGGGAAAACAACACACACACAGCACTTGGAATTTGGGAACTTTAGTGGCTAGTGACTGCTACATTGAAAAATGTTTTATATTCTTAACCAGTCTTTAATGTTCAAAAATAAGAAATATGAGAAAGGTTCCAGGTTTCCCTCCACAAACTAAAAAGAGATATTTGTAAAGTCTGTAAAGCTACTGTCAATTATTAGCATGTCGTTTCTTCTATAAAGTAACTGTGGTGCCACTACTCTGGGTATTAGAGTAGAAATGCTGATTCCTTCGCCTAAAATAAAGAAAATCTATTATACTGTCCTGAATTACAATTCTCACATTTCTGTAACTCCTTATCTAAAAGACTGCAGCTGCTCTACAGTCTGGACATGAGGTCACCACCACAATCACACATAGACATTAAGTTCACTTACTCTCCCTCTGGGAAGCCAAGCAGTTTCTATAAACAACAAAAAAAAAAACTAAAAATTTCACAGAAATTCAGTGACTGATAGGAAAGAGCTTAAGGTGAGTGCGCAGGGCTAAATTGGATTATTTTCTACACAGGTGACTGCAGGTTATCTCAAAAGGCACGCAGCAAACTCTAATAACAGCTAAAGAAAAACAACCAGCCTAGAAAACATTTACAATACTTAACAAAAATGAAAAAAAAAATGCATCAGATCATATGAAATAACAGTGTCAACTTCAAAAAGGCACATCAACATACAAGTTCCCTAAGTCACTTTTTCATATGAATTATTTTTATTATACAAAATTCTATACCATAATTGAGTTATAAGGGAATTAATTAATATTTTTCTCCTTCTAAGTGCGTCAGAGAAATTCGGGGTTACCAGTCTATAAAGATCTAGGGAAAAAAAGAGTAAGTAACAAGGCTATAATTTACGTATAGCAGTATTATAATTCAAGAACTATGCTTTAACTAAGCCCAGTTACAATTTTCATCCTTTTCCAAGAAGTGAGCTTTGATAAACTTGATAAACTTAGAGAATTTTAGCTACAAGGATGTAGACAGGATCCAATACAAACTGTGCGTATCACACCACTTGTGCATGTGTCCTACCTCTAATCTACAGTAAGCCTTTGCTGACCTTATTAAAGAACTGTCCTTGGTGACTGCTTTTCTAACATGAGTTTTCCAACTTTCTTTGTTTATAAATCAGATTGACACAAATATCGTGAAAATTCTGTAGTCACTCCTTTCTGAGGATGAAGCTGGCTGGTTTCTGGGAAGGAAGACGATGCTATGGCAGAGGGGAACACCATCTTGATGAGTTGTTTTCCATGCACATGGATTTATGCAGTTTCATCCATGTCAGCACACTCACGTGCAAGACAGTTGTGGGAGTAGGAATAACAAGGATAATTTAGCCCTTGTGAAGATAAAATTCTGTCATCTTCGCTAAAATGTTTTGTGGTCAAGACTGAAGATCCATAAACTTCAATTATACTTATTAAAACAAAAAAGACTGATTTTAAAAAATATTACCTTGCCACTTAGAAAAAATTTTTTGCATTACTCTTAAAATAAAAAAAAAAAAAAAAAAAAAACATCATTTGGAACCCTACTGAAATCAGGTCAGTGCTCCTCTGGTAGAAACACCAGCTCTACAAATAAAGGAAACTTAGATGGTAACTAAGTAACAAGTTGAGTATTATCTCAACTTTTCTTAGGTGTCTTTAACATTGCTACAGAAATAGATGAAAGCAAACAGTCGTGTCCCTTCCTAAAGTTTAGAATTCTTTTCATTACAACCGAAATTACCTTCTACCTCTGGGCCTAGATCTTTGTTGTACAAGTAGCTCAGCTCTCACTGCGTTACCTTCCCCACAGACATCATGCTTTATTCATCTGATCCACTGGCAGAGCTTTCCTTCCGTTTCAGTGATTCTGTCCTCTCCTGAACACTGCCCCCTTAATTAGATTCTAACCTTTGATGGAAGACAAGACTAGAGCATCACTTCCAATGTTGAGACTGAAAATGGCAGTCATAAATTTAAATAAACCTTCTCATTCAAAGAGCATAATCAACATGCACTTTCCCATGACTCAACAGAAGCTAAAATTTATAATCATTTTCCCAAGAAAATGTCAGATTTCTACAAAATGTCTAAGTCTTTGCTACAATGGAGATTCTCTCTAGCTATGTTCTTCCCAACTGTTTAATAATCTGAAATAAACTACTAAAAGCATATATATATATCAGGTCATATATTTTTGTACAACCCTCACCTGGTTTATATTCAGCTACAAGATTAAATTAGCTGCAGATGTCAGTTAGCTTTCCCTCCTAAGATGTGGCAGTAGCCCGCCCGATTTGGGGATTAGTAAATGAGCACTAAACTTGTTTCAACTTAAGTCCAAACCAGATACCCTTCTCCTCACTGGTGATGTTTTGATTTGCTTCAGTTGTTGAACTCTGTGTGAATACAGACCATCACCTTTAACTGTAAATAAGTTAACTACGCTGGCCAGTAACGTTCATCAGCATTACTATTTAGAACTGTTTCCATTCAAAATGCCGCAGGTCAAAAAAACACAGTGAAAATGTCGCCTGTGAATATCTCTGGGGAAAAGTACTACATGAAAAAGTTTCTGATTTGAGTTCTATTTACTTTGACTTTATAAACAAGATTTATTTGTAGAATTGGAAGTGTCTACTGGAAAATGTTTATGGCCAATGTAGGGAACCTCAAGTGAAGAGACGAGGTCTCTCATACCTACATATCCCAGAACTGCAAGAAAAAGGAGTCCATAAGGGCATCAGGTATCTAAGTCCAATCTTTGGACGAATGTCAAGGCTTTGGAAACCGAGGGCAAGGTGACGACTGTTAGTCTCTAACTCCCACCTCCCCTAGTCAAGTCTCCACCCTCCCAGATCCCCAAGCGTGATTTTGCACAACAAGTTAAATAAAAGTAAACTGTTTATTAAAAGACACAGCAAAGATACAGATACAGAGATACATACAAAGATACAGATATATATATATTTACATATATATACAGTTTTGCTGTTCTCATGTGCACTGTACTTAGCAGCACATTACTTAATCAGGCGGCATTTTAATGGGGTTGTTTTGACATTTGGCATTGTTACTGCGTCATTTTGACAAGATACAACTATTGCCTTGAAAATTTCAATGTATAAATTTCACTCCTCCAACTTTTAATAGTAGCAAAGAGGGGAAAGAGTAGGGAATGGAGAACCAAGGCTGAACACTAGGTTAAACACAAGAATTCAAAAGGGCTAAGGTAGCACAAGGAAGGGAAAATTATTGAAATCAAAGGCTATCTGAAAACCCAGAGAAGTATTAAGAAACCATCACTTAAGGGCAATGGGCTATGTACCCATGATGTTCACATCAACCTACAATGACTTTTTCAATCCAGTTCTTGTGTTGAACCTGAGGATCTGCCTTCTCTCCCCTGAATCCCTCCACCCAACATACTTGCTACCACCAAAATCTAGAGCTATAGAGCCTAGAAGCAAAACGGGAAGCTAAATAGTTGTACCTTGGGCTCCCTTCCCACAAGTGCATGGAGGGCCCAATGTTGGGTAGGGATGTGATAACACTTTTCTCTGCAATTCGATGCTTTTCACTTTGTGGCTTCGTTCCACAAAGTGAATTGCATCGAGTTACTGTCAAATGAGAAGCTGCGGGTTGTTTCATCTGTCGCTTAACCCGGCCCTGCCGTTTAACCCGGCCCTAAGAAGAGTGAAACAGAATCCAAATCAGATATAAAATAACAATAAAATGGGAGATTTAGACATAAAAACAAACACATATATTCCTACTACTTACCTCTGAGGGCAAGCTGCTGCTGAAAACATTATCGTCATCCTTGTTTTCTTCACCGTTTTTCTCTACAGGAACCCATTCTCCATAAACACTATCGGCTTCTTTTTTCCGATGCTGAGATCCAGATGACACAGGAAATTCCTTTGTTAACGTTACTTGGCTTTTTGGTGGAGTTGGTTTTGCTGCAGCAATCTAAAATACAGTATTTAATTAGAATGCATTATAACAGATACCATAAATGGTTTCTAAAAATCTCAATAAAATCTGAAGGAAACGTTTACTTTTTTTTGCAGTGTCAGGAATTAAACTTAAGAGTCTCACACATCCTAGGCCCCCACACTACCAGAGCCCTACTTTGAGAAGAGCCGCTGTCACTATTCATCACAGCATGTACACACTCAGTAGACTAAACCCACAAGGGTCTCATCAGTCTGCACGCACTTGACTAATACTCACATTCAGATTGAAAAAGATAGGCTTGGGTTCACTGAGTTTAAAGGGATGGTGATAAAAAGGAGGCTCTTCTTCCTCTTCATCCGAAACATGAGGTTTATTCACTATTACATCATCATCTTCTTTACTCTGTGCAATCTGTTTGCATTTCTTTAAAGTAAAAAACAAACAAAAGATGAATATGGCTTACACAAATTAGCATGTAATTTTTTAAATGAATCACATAAGATCAATTTCAAGTAATCAACATTTATGATAGCTTAAAGAACCATAATTTAGCTTACTAGATATATTATTTAAACACACACTGGCTGCTCAGTCAACAACATTTATTGAGCACCTACTATGTGCAGAGCACTGAACTGGGCACTGTCTTAAGAAAAATACAAAAAAAAAAAAAAAAGGAAAAAAGAAAAGAGAAAAGAAAAAAAGAGAAATAGGTAAAGACATGGTCCCTGCTCCAAGGGAGCTTACAATCTAATACAAGACAAGAGTACATATACAAGAAGTAATTGAAGAACCTTTTTACAGAGCAACACAATAACAAGTGCAAACTGATATAATACAAACAGGGTACATAAGTGCTAAAAGAACAAAGGCTTAAGAGAGAATATTCAGGCAGGGTTTAGGAATCAAAGAATATTTCTTCAAGAGTTCTAAGCGCAATTTCCATAGTAAAGAAGAATTGGGAAGGAAAAGAAAGTCATCTTGGTCAGGTGGTGATGAACAAGTCAGGAGAGACTTGTCAGACGGGGCAAGAGCGCTGAAGATGAGACCAACAACAGCAGAACGCTAAGTGTTCAGAGACTTTTACATAAAAAGCTTGCATTTGGTAAGTAAGCAAGAGGCTTTTTGCTAGGTCTTTCTTTTCTAAGTTATAAATCAAACTATAATGAACCTAAGCAAGGAAACAAGAAACTTTATAATTCCCAAATGTATGGTAAAAGATTTTAAACATTTGTGGCAGGGTAAATAGTAACATGTCTCTCCATAAATGTTTTTTAAAATTTATTTAAGGACTGTAACTTAAGAATGGAAAAATAAGGCATGATGGAGAGAGAGGGTGCAATTGATGCAGTCCAACATATAAAGTCAATTCCTTCCTCAGAAGCAAAAGGAACATATTCCGTTTATAAAAAGGTTAAGAGTAAATTTTAGTAGACCTGTCTATACAAGCAGAACTTGTCACATCTATTATCAATTGAAAATATTACAATAGAATTAAAAAGCTCAATTAGCCAAAAACACAAGAGTGTATCAAGCATGTAACCAATGAGAACAGAATATGTTGACAGTGGCAGGCTGGCATAAGGCTAGCCAATAACAGGTTTCAGTATATGAAACAGTGTGTTATTCCTGGATCCTAGCAGCAATATTTCAGCGTCTTCCCCCCTCCCCCCGCCACACACACACACACACACACACAAAAAAAAATTAAAGTAAAACAAAGCTTCCCCAAAAAGCCTTAATTTTAAAAGATCAATTTTTTAAAAACAAAAATAAGTATATTTAAAATATGTTACTGCCAAAACCCGAACCGCAGGAAGAACTGATAATGGCCGGCCATTATCGCCAATGGCTGGTACCAAACAGCCAAAACCCGAAATGTTGATGCGAAAGAAGTTCCTTTCAGGCAATGGCCAGCTATTCTCATTAATTTCCAAGCTCCGGTGGCAAAAGATCATTTCTGAAGATTGTCTGTGTCTTTGCGTATAGGCAGTACACTCTTGGCGATCAGTGAACACGTCGTGAATGGAAACGAAACTGTAGGCGAGCTTCTGCGTGTTGCTCACTCAACACCTCCTCCATTCAAACGAACCGTTCCACTCCTCAGTCAGTTTGGCTTCTAAAACTGGAAAGCAAAAGTAATGGGAAGTAACTTTTTAGCTAGCGGAGCTTAGCCATCCCGGATAATGGCCTGCTAAACAGAGCTTCTGCCGCTGCCACATCTGTATTTCGGGTTTTGGGCACTCGGTGCCAGCCATTATCAGTTCAGCCCACAATCCAGGTTTTGGCACGCTCCAGAAGTCAACATCCATGGAATAATCCATTTAAGAATGGAAACAAAGTCTGTCTAGCTTACCTCCGTTAGTTCTTCTATGGTAGCTCCTCCAGACTTCTTAGCAACTTTCTCTTCTATTGTAGGTGGAGGGGCAGGCTTTAGGTTTGGTGGTAAAGGAACACCAGCCTTAGCACACATGGCAGCTGCATTAGCTTTGGCTATCTCAAGTAATTGAGCCTTATCTGTAAGAGAAAAAATACAAGAAGCAGTTTTCCTAAACGCTGTATGTTTTTGTTCTGTCTAAAGATATCATAGACAATAAAATTAAAGGCATCAGTACTGTGCCCTAAGTTACGGCTATGATCAAGGTGAATGGACCCTTTCAACAATTAACACTATTTGTTTCCAATGCAAATACTACACACGATAGCTTACTATGACTCTGTGATCACCTAGCCATAAATTATAAAAGAACAAGTCTACCAAAGGCAACATTATTTCCTAGAATTAACATGACCATAAGCCATTCTCATTTTTGTGCTAGGGATGCTTAGTTAAAATGCTTACTGAGCATGTACAGACCCTGTGGTTCAAAGCCCAGTATTACATAAAACTGGTCACAGAAAACTGCAATCCCAAGCAAGCACTGGGGAAGTGGAGGCAGTGGTAGAAGTTCAGGCCAACCTCAACTACATAGTGGGCTACAAGTTAGTCTCTGTCTCTCTCTCAGACAAATCTCATTCTAATCTAACAGTAACTTAATCCCTTATTAAGTTCCAAGTCCATCTCTTTCAAGAAGCCTTCAACTGAGCAAGAATGAATATTCCTTTCCACTGTGCAAAATGTGCCCCTGCACCATTACTAGGGCAATTACACCTTCTACTCCTTTAAGTTTTGACCCTTGGTAAAAGTAGTACATTCTAGCAACTTCCTTCACTAACTTACAATCACTGAGAATTACCTACCATTCCTCAGTTCTAAGAAAATGATATATCAGAAAACTCTTAGTAAACGGAGTATCAAATCTGCTGTCTTGTCTTTTTCTTTAGACTGCCCTAACCAAAAAATTAACCTCCAGCATACTTAAAGTTTTTTTTTTTTTTTTTTTTTTTTTGGTTTTTCGAGACAGGGTTTCTCTGTGGCTTTAGAGCCTATCCTGGACCTCACTCTGTAAACCAGGCTGGTCTCAAACTGACAGAAAGAGGTTTTGGTTTGGTTTGTTTCTGGTTTTTTTGAGACAGGATTTCTCTGTGTAGCCCTTGCTTTCTTGGAACTGACTCTAGACCAGGCTGCCTTCGAACTCAGATATCCACTTGCCATTGCCTCCCAAGTACAGGGATTAAAGGTGTGTGCCACCTCTATATAGCTAGAAAACATTTAATTTTAAAGACAACAGAATATAATTGGTGATAATCACTTCATTAAATAAACTGCATCATTCATCCAGCTCACTCTCAGAACAAAATTTCCTAAATTCAATAACCTGTCATATTACACAGAATAACCTTTCCAGGCGGGGCGGCGGAGGCAGAGGCAGGAGGATCTCTGGGAGTTCGAGGCCAGCCTGGTCTACAAGAGCTAGTTCCGGGACGGGCACCAAAGCCACAGAGAAACCCTGTCGGGGGGGGGGGGGGGGGGGGGGGGGAACCTTTCCATTTAACAATCCTGGATTGCCATTTTAAGATATGATAGCTAAGTCTGGCATGGTGGCTCAGCTTGTAATCCCAGTCAACAGGAGGAGAACACAGCCACTTTGGGCTGGCTACACAGTAAATTCCATGCCAACATGCACTACAGACTAAGATCCTGTCTCAAAAAAAAAAAAATTAAATGAAAAATTTCAAATTCTGCTTTTTTGCAAAGCCTTGTGCTGAAATATATCCAACACACAACAATCAATCTGAGTTGTAACAAGGCTTCTCAAGCTACTACTCTTTCTATTAAGGTGAAATAGCAAGTCCAGGCACATCATGGCTCTGCACACTGCACACAGCAGGTCTTTTTACCTTTCAAGTGCACTAACTTCCCCTTCATTCTCTAAACACAACTGAATGATTATCTAAACCAACACCCCCAAAATACCCTTTTGACTCAGGATTAGAAATCAAGCTTAACTCATATCTATTACAATATAACTTACCCAAATCTGTTAGACGTTTGGGTGATCTGCCTCTTTCAGAAGACCTGGATCTTTTACGACGAAGGGGAGATCTACTAAACCTTCTTCTCAAAGGTGTTCTTGATCGCCTCAATCTGACTGGTGATATACTGAAGCTTCGTCTTCTTACCACAGACCTTGATCTTCTCCTGCGGCTGGGGGTGCGGCTCCTTCGGCTAGGGGTGCGACTCCTGCGGCTGGGGGTGCGACTCCTGCGGCTGGGGGTGCGGCTCCTTCGGCTAGGGGTTCGGCTCCTTCGGCTGGGGGTGCGGCTCCTTCGGCTTGGGGAAATGCTGAAACTCCTCCTTCTACCAACAGATCTAGACCTTCTCCGACGACTAGGAGTGTGACTCCGACTGCGACGACTAGGAGTTCGACTCCGAGCCCGAACTGTTTTGCGGTTGTCCCGGGAGCTTGATCTTTTCCTTTTCCTTTCCCTGGACTTGGACCTGTGCTTTGGAGATCTTTTGCGTTTCTCTTTTGATACAGACCGCCTTCCTCTAGACTTAGATCTTGATCTGCTACTCCTCCTCCTGCGTCTTGAACGTGATCGTGAACGTGTTTGAGAACGATGAGACTTGGACTTAGATGACCTCTTCCTTGCTCTAGAACGAGACTCACTGGTACGCTTGCGTGACTTATGTTCAGAAGACTTGGAGCGCTTACTCCGAGACCTTAATGAAGAGTCCCTTTTCTTCTCTTTTTCACCTTTGTCACGGTTTTTATTTTTCTTGCTTTTTTCATGTGTGTCCTTAACTTTGACAAAAATTTCATAGTCATCCTTTTCCTCTGAAGACGACTCTGAGGCTCTTTCTGGTATACTAATTACAACTGGACTGGCAGCCAATCTGTCCCGTTCAACTTCACTTGCAAGTAAAGGTCCTTCAATGCCAGCTCTAAGGCTTGTAAGACGTTCCATGTCCTTAGGAAGTAATGGTCTCACTAAGTCAGCTTCGTTAATCTCATCAATGCTGGCAGGATATCCTGAATCAGGAACTGTTTCTTTATTGGGAGGAGGTACTTCTTTATCTTCACTGCCTTCTTTAGGGCTAAGAGCAACTGCTACTGTCTGGTCATTCTCTTTTATGAGCAATGAGTCTTCTGTATCCTTACAAACAAGATTTGCTGATGGTAAATCAAGATGAATGTCCTTTGCAGGCAAAGGTCCCTCTATGTCAGCTTCACTGCCACCACTAGGGCTGGTGGAAATTACCATGTCATGTTCAGTATCTTGAGTGGTTAAAGATACATCACCATCATATTTACTATCTAAACTGGGAACAGATGCTGTAACAAATTCCAACCCCTTACTAGTTCCCGTTGTATCTGGTTCCAGAGCTAGTTGAGAAGATAGGCTTCTTCCTGCATCAGCTTCACTGACAGCAAGACAGGTATCCAATTCTGTGACTTCCTTAGCCTCAACAGGCATGATTTTCTCTTCACTTGCTTCACCAACAGAACCAATGGCAGCGGAACACACTGTATCATCTTTAGCAATTAAATGACTGTTTAAAGTAAGGTCTGTATTTCTGTCATATTCATTTTCATACAAGTCACTTTTCAAGTGCCCTCCATCATGTGGCTCTTCACCTGAATGCAACAGAATCTCCTGCATGCCAACCTCTGGACCAAAACTTTGATCACCAGAAAGTAAATTCCTTTCTTTTATGACATGTGATGAAAAAACACTGGACTCCACTATTGGTGGTGAAGGCTCTAAAGCCATCTCCGGGGATATTACTTGACTATGCTCTGAAACTGTGACAGCAGGTTCTGAAATGGCCACAGTAGGTTCCTGGACAGGAACACATGGTTCTGAAACAACCATAACAGGTTGAACGACTGATACTGCTGGTTCCAAGATAGGCACGGAAGGCTCCAGGGAAGAACCACCTGACCCTGCAGTTGTAGCATGCTCTGGGTCAGCCAAAGCTGGAACCTCTGGGACAGCCACAGGAGGTTCTAAGACAGGCATGGAGGAAAGTTCTGGAGTAGTCATAGCAGAAGGGTCTGGGGCAGTCACAGCAGGAGGTTCTGAGACAGCCACAATGGGGGTTTCTGGAACAACCATAATGGGAAGTTCTTGGTTGGCCACAGCTGAAAGTTCTGGGACGGCAACAGCAGGAGATTCTGGGGTAGTCATAGTGGGAGGTGCTGGAACAGCCATGGACGGAAGCTCCAGACTGCTCTCTGCTGGCTGTGAAATAGTTACTGCTGGCTCCAGGAGGGACATAGATACCTCTGAAATAGCATGTCCTGATGATGGTCTCATGGAATCATATGTTTCCGATGTCTCCGACATAACCGAAGGCTCTGATAGCACAGTTTGTTCAGCTGATATGGTAGCCTCAGAAACCATGTAAGTCACTGGTCTCACTGTAACCATTTCATGTTCTGCTACAACAGCAGATTCAACTGGTGTTGATATGACTGAAGACTCTGGCTCCTGTGCAGGCTCTGGAACAGTCATAATAGCCTCTGATGCTAACATTGAAGTCTCAGATTCTGATACTGAATAATTAGCAGGTACTGCCAAAGGCTCTGAAATCTCACTTTGACTCACAGGAGGCTCAGGCTGTGATACAGATTCTTCAGTAGGTAATGTCACCTCTGTAGACCAAGTATTCTCAGCTGTTAATACCGACTGTTCACCAGATAATGCCGGACCCTCTGGTGGTTCCTCAGGAGGCAATGGTGGAGTCATTGGTGGTTCCTCAGGTGGTAATGGTGGCATTGTTGGGGGCTCTTCAGGAGGCAAAGGAGGCACCATATATGCCTCCGTATAGGAATCAGTGTAAGAATCAGTATAAGAATCAGCTGCCATAGACATCATTGATCGATCAGTGTAAGATGACATCATAGATCGGTCAGCTGCAGAGTATGATGACATCATAGATCGGTCAGCTGCAGAGTACGATGACATCATGGACCGGTCGGCACCCATGGACATCATAGATCGATCAGCCATAGGGGACATCATGGAGCGTTCGTAAGCTGACATCATAGAGCGTTCATAAGCTGACATCATAGAGCGCTCAGCCATAGGTGACATCATGGAGCGCTCATAAGCTGACATCATAGAGCGCTCATAGGCTGACATCATAGAGCGCTCAGCCATGGGAGACATCATGGAGCGTTCGTAAGACATCATAGAGCGCTCATAAGATGACATCATGGAACGTTCTGCAGCATAGGACATCATCATAGAACGTCTAGAGGCTAACATCAAGGGTCTGGGTGCTAATCTGTATGGCCTAGGTGCTATTCTATAGGACCTGGGTGCTATTCTGTACGGTCTGGGTGACATCCTATAGGGATCAGGAGTTAGTCTGTAGGGATCATGGCCTAACCTATAGGGGTCCTGTCCTAACCGGTAAGCATCATGCCCTAACCTATAGGGGTCATGACCCAACCTATAGGGATCCTGAGCTAATCTGTAAGGATCCTGAGCTAACCTGTAAGGATCAGGAGATTTTGAACCCATCATAGCAGAATCTTGGGTACTAGATGCTAACATTTGGGCATCCATAGTACCAGATGCTAACATCTGAGCATCCATGGTGCCAGAAGCTAGCATTTGAGAATCCATAGCACCAGATGCTAACATTTGGGAGTCCATGGAACTGGTTGCTAACATCTGGGAGTCCATACTGCTGGTTGCTAACATCTGGGAGTCCATGGAGCTAGTTGCTAACATCTGGGAGTCCATTGTGCTAGAGGCTAACATCTGGGAGTCCATGGTGCTAGATGCTAACATCTGCGAATCCATGGTATTAGATGCTAGCATCTGAGAATCCATAGTGTTGGATGCTAGCATTTGGGAGTCCATGGTGTTGGATGCTAACATATGGGTATCCATGGTGTTAGAAGCTAACATATGGGATTCTTGGGCCATCAAGGGATCCACTCCTACTGTTACAGAAGTCTCCCCCACCAATGTAGAAGGCAGCTCCTGTGCTACCGTATTATAGGATTCCAGCGCTGTCGTCGAGGGCACCTCCAGAGACTGCGACACGGTCATCGTTGACAGCTCCGATGTTGTCACCACAGACTGAACAGAGATCTCCAGCGCCACAGTTGCCACGGGCTGCCCAGGCAACTCTGGCGCCCCAGGCTGCCCTGGTAACTCCAGCACCCCTGTTGCCAGGGGCTGCCCCAAAAGCTCCAGGGCTCCAGCTGCCCCAGACTGCCCTGAGAACTCCAGTGCCCCAGTTGCCATGAGCTGCCCAGGCAACTCCAGTGCCCCAGTTGCCACAGGCTGCCCTGACAACTCCAGTGCCCTAGTTGCCGAAGGCAGCCCTGACAACTCTGGCACCCCAGTCACTGAAGGCTGCCCAGACAACTCCAGAGCTGTGGTTGCCACTGGTTGTCCTGGCAACTCCAGCACCATCGCCTCCGGCTGCCCCAGCAACCCTGTTGCTGTTGTCACCTCAGGATGTTCCACCGATGTCATCGCCACGGGCTGCTCGAACTCTGTCGTCGTCACAGGCTGTTCGCTCAACTCCATTGCTACTGTTACTGCAGGCTGCCCTGTCAATTCCATTGCCGCTGACACTGCAGGCACCCCTGGCAACTCCTGTGCCATCACAGGCGGCTCTGGTACCTCCTGTGGTGGCTCCAACCCCACGGATGGTGCTGGAGGCCCTGGCAATTCCTGCAACAACTGTGGCACTGGTGTCACAGAGGGCCCCGGCAACTCAGGCACTACTGTCGCAGGGGGCCCTGGCAACTCAGGCACTGGGGTGGAAAGGGGCCCTGACAACTCTGCCACCGGGGTGGCAGAGGGCCCAGGCAACTCCAGCACTGGAGTCACAGGGGGCCCCTGCAACTCCATCATGGAGGTCGCAGGTGGCCCCGGCAACTCCAGCGCTGAGGCCACCGACGACTCCTGCAGCTCCACCGCTGTGGTCTTAGGCTGCTCCACTGACTCCTGAGGTGTTGTCACGGATGACTCTGCAATCTCCGACGGTGCTTCTACAGGCTGCTCTGGCAATCTTAGTGCATCAGTTGTAGATGACTCTGGAAAATCCATTGTTGATGGGCTTGGTTCAGGGTGCACCTCAGTAGGTATCTCTGATACTATCATGAGGGTTTCTGGTGGCTCAAGCACTTTTGCTATGGGAAGCTCTACCAGCGTGGTCTTTGATATCTCTGGAGGCGTAGTCTCCAAAGATTTCAGCACAGACTTCTGATACTCCACTGACATTGTTACAACGGGCTCAGGTGACTTCAGCACTGCTGTTGACGTAGGCACTGGTGCTGCTGCAAAGGAATCCAGACTCTTGGTCGTTGAGGGTTCCATCGTAACTGACACAGGCTGCTCAGGTTGCTCTGGGATTACTGATGTAAATCCAACAGACAGTTCTGCAGTTTTTGTAGGAGGCTTCAAAGTCTCTAAAACGTGTGACTCCTGAGCCTCCAATGATCCTATTGGAGGTTCTAGCACTAAAGGGGTTTCACGGGCCTCAGATAAGCCAAATACTCTTACAGGATGTTCCAGTGCCATTGCTGCTGAAGGTTCAGAATCAAACTTTAAAAAGGAATCAGACTCTAGATCAACATTCCTGTCATGATGAGATTTCAACTTGGACTCAGCTTCTTCTGGTTGATTTTTATATTTTTTTTCCTTTTCTTTCTTCTTTTTCTTCTTTTTGTTTTTGTGCTTTTTATGCTTCTTTGACTTTTTGGTAGGAACTTCATCAGTAGGATCTGTTTGTACAGATACACATCTACTTTTTCTGGAGGCCTCCTTCAAGTCTGAAAGTAATGAAAACTTGTGAGTCATTCCCCAATGTAGATTCATACAAATTGCCACTATTTTCGTTTACACGTAGAAATCACTATATAATTAATCATAGTGTAAATAAAAATTTAAAAAATAACCTATTATCTCTTGACCAATAAGCCTGAAGGTTGCCATTTCTCCAGGATTTATAAAACTAAAATCTTCAAGATAAATTCTTGGTCTAACACAAAAACCTATTTAGAAGGAAATTATGTTTTAAGGCAGGACATAGCTCAGGTCAGAGTATTAGCTAAACATGTGCAGAGCCCTGGCTTCAATTTTCAACCCTGGTGGGGGAGGATGGGACAGTATTTCACTAAAAATCTAAGGTTATTTTTTTCCTCAGGGTCAATGAGACAGCTCAGTGTGTAAAAATGTTTGCAGGCAAACCTGATGGCCCATATGGTAGAAGAAAACCAACTCCACAAATTAAGTGATTTCCACAAATAAGACAGTCCACATACACACACATACACACATGCGTGCGAGCGCACGCGCGAGTACATACATGCATGGATAGCTATCCAGAAGTACACAATATTTTGAAAACCATTCTTTTCTTAGGTTGGGTATGACAGTGCATGCCTTTAATACCAACATTCTATAGACAGAAGCTGACAGGTCTCTGTGAGTTCAAGGCCAGCTTGGCTTACAAAACTCTAGGCCAGTCAGAATTACAAAGTGAGGAGGCCCTGTCTCAAAAAAAAAAAAAAAAAATCCTCGCCCCCCCCCAACTTTGTTCTTAAATTATAGAAGTTTTTACAACTACGCCAATGAATTTACTTCATATTTAGTTTCAATTCCTATTTAAGATTTTAAAAACTCCAATTACAGGGGCTGGAGAGATGGCTCAGAGGTTAAGAGCATTGCCTGCTCTTCCAAAGGTCCTGAGTTCAATTCCCAGCAACCACATGGTGGCTCACAACCATCTGTAATGAGGTCTGGTGCCCTCTTCTGGCCTGCAGGCATACACACAGACAGAATATTGTATACATAATAAATAAATAAATATTAAAAAAAAAACTCCAATTACAGAACTACTAAAAGACTAATGTCCAAAGATAAAAATGCTCTCATTCAAATAACTTCTACTAACGTTTCATTAGCCATCATTTATACAAGTGATATAGCACCTGCTCAGCTTAAAATTTGACAAATCTTAAGAAAATGTTAATCAAATATACCAGGGATTCCTAGCACAGAAGGAAAAAATACCAACACCAGACACCATATCAAAAGAAAATTAATAATTTTCTATTGCTTATTTCACATAAGCATAAAATCATGGTTTTTACCTAAACAAGATTGCAAAGACTATCTATGATCTATGCAAGACTTGCTATTATAATATGTGTATCAGAGAGAACCATACCACACACCTAATTCCTATACTTCTGTGGTTAATCACAAATTGTTTTTTTATTTATTTTCATTTTATTGGTGTTTGTCTGTATGTATATCTGTGAGAGGGAGTAGGACCCTGGAGTTACAGACAGTAGTGAGTTGCCACGTGGGTGTTGGAAATTGAACCTGGAACCTCTGGAAGAACAGTCAGTGCTCTAAATGCTCAGCCACCTCTCTAGCCCCAAAATCTTTTTTTTTTTTTTTTTTTTTTTTGGTTTTTAGAGACAGGGTTTCTCTGTGGTTTTGGAGCCTGTCCTGGAACTAGCTCTTGTAGACCAGGCTGGTCTCGAACTCACAGAGATCCGCCTGCCTCTGCCTCCCAAGTGCTGGGATTAAAGGCGTGCGCCACCACAGCCGGCTTCCAGCCCCAAATTCTTCATTTTTAAGCACCCATTATTTAATCAGTTCCAAAAAGGAAATATTATGCAATGACTGTGTTTCAACTTGCTTGTACGAACAAGTCAACTTCTTTGTTTTGTTTTTCGAGACATGGTTTCTCTGTGTACCCTTAGCTATCCTGGAAATCCTTCTGCAGAGCAGGCTGGCATTGAACTCAGATCCGCCTGCCTCTGCCTCCCTCCCAAGTGTTGGGATTAAAGGGATGCACCACCAGCCACCTGGCATAAGTCAACTTCTAAGCATGTGATTTAAAACAAAATCTGGTGTTTTAAAAACCACTAAAAATTTAGTTCAGGCTCTGGCACTTTATAAAATTGACACTTGGGGGCTAGAATAATGTGTTTAAGAGATTGCACTGCTCCTGCAAAGGATCCTGATCAGTCTCAGCAGCCACTTGGTGGCTCACAGCTGTCCAACTCCAATTACATAGGCTCTAATACCCTCTCCCCGTGGCTTCCTCAGGCACCAGTCACACAAGCTATACATCCATACACTCCAGCGTTTATACATGCAAAACAAAAGTAAAAAGACACCAAAAGTACATTAAAAAGAGCTGATATTAATACAATCCTTCAAAGACACACAAAGAATCCTGCCATTTAGTCACAACAAAACTGAATTAGATATTAAAAACCTTATTTTGCCAGTAAATCAAGGAAGTGTTCCAGTGTTCATGCTTGAATATAACTGTTTTCAAAGGAGTTCAAGACACTATAAAAAAAATTAACCCAAAGACAGTGCTGTGGACATTCAAAATTTTTAAAAGACTTTTGACAGTTATCCTCAACTTACCTGTTTTATATCGTAGTTCTGTGTCTAAGACCCCAGAAAGGACTTCCTCTATCTTCTGTACTATTTCTTCATTTGGGAGACTCCTTGCAGAGGCAGCTGGGTCACCTGTCTGGCTTCCTTCAATGGGTGCATTTGTTTCACCATTCAGCTGGCCTTCACTCCTTCCGCTTGACAAGAAAAATTTTCAATCTTCATTAATACTTGTATCACACCATAAGTAATTCAACATTAATAACCTAATTAACATAATCTTACATTACATTGCCCACACATCTCAGTGTTCTAGTTCATATGTTTGCCTTTAGTAATTCTTCCCTAACACTATACACTCAAAGTGCTTTTATTTTTACACAAAGTTTTCAGAACTGTGATAAGAGAAATTCCTTAAAATCTGATTTTGAAGGGAGTTTAAAAAATAAACTTAAAGCTTTCAGTTACCTAAGGTCTTTTTTGGGAGGTAGGGGGAGCAGTGCTTTGTTTTTTATTTTTCAAGACAAGAATTTCTCTGTATAACAGTTCTAACTGTCCTGGAGCTAGTTCTCGTAGACCAGGCTAGCCTTGAACTCACAGAGATCCGCCTGCCTCTGCCTTCTGAGTGTTGGAATGAATTAAAGGTGTGCACCACTACTGCCTGGCTCCAGTTACCTAAATATTAATGAGCCAATACACAAGGAAAAATAGATGATCCAACATTATGATATGGTAAAAAGTGTGGCCACAAGAGACCCACCCCTGTGCACTGATCACAACCAGTCAAGGCAGACACTGGGTAGAGGTTACTTGTAGCCTCTCCTCAGCTTCAGACTTCAAGTGAAATGCCTTTAAATTTAAAAAGAAAATTGCATCTAGTAACTTATACCTATTAAAAATTCTGTACCTAAACAATTTCTGGAATTCAAGAAGTTTACAAAGAACAAGTTTATACTACCAGTAAAATGGTAAATGGCTCAACCTATTTCTAGATCACGGGGCCAAAAGAATGTTACTATAATTAAAACAAGGTCATTCATGTAAACATTTTTTTTTTACTATTTTTGTGTAAACTTGCAAAAAAATTAATTAATTCAGTTTCAACTAAGTTTTACTAACTGAATACACATAAAACTACCTGCTAACAATTTCGTTAAAGAAACAAAAGACTTTAGTGAGGAATGACTGTTTTTCTAACACAGTAAACCTTGCTAGTCTAATTAAAAAAAACATTTATAAGTCCTAACAAGTGCCATTTTTTGTTATTTTGTTTTTAAGACAAAGGTCCCACTATGTAGCCCTGGCCTTGCCCACCTCTGTCTAACTGTTGGAACTGAGTGCATGCGCCACATCTGGCCTGCCACATAATTTTTTTTAAAAAATCATATAATTTTAATAAAACTCTGCAATCAGGACTGTTATTCTGTTACTAAAAATGGAAGAAATATATCTTTATACAATAAACTGTGTTCTTTAGCCATCTAAATGTTAGGCTTACTATCTACACTGATGAATATATAAGCACTTGGAGGAAAAATAGCTTACTGAATTGGCAAAGCAAAAAGAAAATGTCTTAGACTGATCACGCCCTAAAGCATGCTATTTTTCTAATGCTTACTGCAGACTTTATAAAACAATTACAGCTTCTCTGAGCATTTATACATACTTATCTTGTTTGTTATTTTTTGAAGGCTGGGTCTTCTATTCTGTCTGGCCTGGAACTCGCTAGTTTAGACCAACTCACAAGGATCTTTCTGACTGCCTCCACACCACTAGGATTAAAGGGCTGTGCAAGGTGGCAACTCAGCCACTGTGAGTCAGAGGAAGGTAGGTCTGTTGGAAAAAGGTCCCTCCACCTAAAATTCATTGTTTTTCAAGACAGAGTTTCTCTGTATAGTCCTAGCTGTCCTAGAACTAGCTCTGTAGACCAGGATGGCCTCGAACTGAGAGATCTGCCTGCCTCTGCCTCCCAAGCGCTGGGATTAAAGGTGTGTGCCACCACCGTCCAGGCAATTTCTTCTGAAAACTACCTGCGTGTTAATTACATTTACTGAAAAGCAATTCGAATTTCAAACCACTTTGCTCCCCAACAACATGTCCTAAAAGGAATTTACACAGTTATGAAAAATGTTTAAATTATCAAGGCTTCAAAGGACTTATGTCTAAAACACACAAAACAAAATGATCACATTAAAGAGATGTGTAGTGGGGGTGGCACACACCTTTAATCCCAGCACTTGGGAGCAGAGGCTTGTGAATCCCTGTAAATTCAAAGCCATCCTGATCTACAGAATGAGTTCTGGATCAGCCAGAGCTACATAGTAAGACCCTCAAAACAGCAAGAAATTCCAGGAAAATTATATTCCCTTAGTTTATGTTTCAACTCATAAAAAAATAAATAACCACAACAACAACAAAAAAAACCTTGCCTATGCCTCAAAATGTTAAAAAGCAACATAGTGGGAATATATACATATGAATATGTATACACACACAAACTATATATATATATTCCTACTTTTAAAAAAAAGTCAGGCAGTGGTGGCACTTAGGAGGCAGAGGCAGGTGAATCTCTGAGTTCAAGGCCAGCCTGGTCTACAGGGCAAGTTCCAGGATAGTCATCTACACAGAGAAACCCTGTCTCAAAAAAAAAAAAAAAAAAAAAAAAAAAAAAAAAAAATTCAGGCACGTGGTCGTAGCTCAAGCCTGTGATCCCACCCATCACTTGGGAGGTGATGAGTGGGAGGCCGGTTTCAACTACACGACAAGGCTGTAAGCAGTGACATTAGAGCCTGTCCACAAGAAAGAGGAAAAAAAAAAAACGAAAAAATTATAAATATCACAACATGAAAAAAATGAAATACCAGCAATAAAATAACCCTATATGCATCAATAACCCTAGCTAATTTGGGGATATAATTTACAACTGCTTATCAGTTGATTTTCTAATTCACATATTCCTGTTCTCAACTTACACCATTCCTAAGAACATTTTTAACTCGGGACATTCACTTTTCAAAAATTCTTTCTTACGGTATTTTAAAGAAATGGTTATCTTATACAAAACAAACTACTAAATGAAAGCCATTTAACAAAACACGCACTCTTTTCCGGAGTAAACAACTTCGGGAATTTCTTACACTTTTTTGGGAACCAAAGCTAATCTCTAAAGTCTACTAGCAGTGACGAAAACAGCTCGATGTTCTTCAAATCTGTTCACATAGTCCACCTCCTACTTAATAAAATTAAGCAATCACTAGTTTCAAAGCCCCCCTTCCATCGCTTTGTCGAGTATTTTCTCATGTGTCTTATACTGAACTGAGATGTTTTAGTTTACAACTCTTAAAAGAGTGCTATCCGACCCAAAGCACAGAGCACTAACTGGGGCCCGAATAGTCTAATAAATAGACTCCGGTCGCCAAACGATCTGAAGCGTACAATAATAAAGAAGTTTTAAGATTACCCAAGGAGCGGCCGTTAGAGACCCTTTCCGGCCATAGACACCGGCCGGCGAAATGCGCGGAGGCGGGGAGGGGGAGGGGAAAGGCGGCGGCGGAGGAGGAGCTGGGGAAGGAACTAGGCCCGTCTCTGGTGAACACTGGGCCTCCGAGTAGCTGAAGGGTAGGGGGTGTCCAACCCAGAGAAAGGTGGACGTCTGAACCCGAAGAAAGAAATGGCGTGTGAGAACACCGCGGGAGGGGCGATCTTCCCCGAAAGGAACGAACGGAAGATCGGGGGGATGGCCCGGAAAATGGATCCCAGGCCCAGGCGGGGCCGTAGCGGGGCCTGAGCCGAGAAACGACGGCGTCTCCGGGAAAGAGGCCACGGGAGGATGGACGAGGCCCTAACCGCCTGCGAGGACCAGAAAAGTCGGGGGAGAGTTTACCTGGAAAGCTCCTGTTGTATTTCCCGGAATTTACTGACCACGAAAGACCTAAAAACCTGCTCGATGTCGGCCGCCATGGCGTCCGCTCCGTTCTCTCAACTCCTCCTCGCTAGTCCTCCAGGCTCCCAGCATGCATCTGGAGGAGGCGCAGCGGCCAATTCCTTTTATCCCTTTCCTTATTGGCTGGAAGGGGAGCGTCCGGCCGGGCACGCTCCAGCCACGAGCCAATCAGCGAGCACGGCCCCGCTCTCCTCCGCTGTTTCTGAGCCGCTGGGGTAGAGGTGCTGACGTTTGCGCCGCGCACGAACTAGTCCGCCATGTTAGTGTTTGACGCAGGCGCCATTACAGGAGAAGTCGCTCCCGAGACGACCGTGCCAGCTTCAGCAGTTGGTCCCCTCAGCCCGTGGGGACTTTCCTAAGAGGCTTCCTGTAGCGAGTAAATGACCGAGATTAGAGGCCATAAAGACAGGGAACCGAAACAATAAAAACAAGGGAGGGGCGGGTGTCGGCACGGAGCTTTAACGCGTTTGGTGCGAGCGCCAAGTTTACTTTGGTCGGGAAGACGAGCATGAGAAAGGAATCCTCATCCCGGGCCCCACGGGGAGCGGCTAGGGACAGTGCCCAGGCTACCTCGTTACCTCCTAGACCCGGCCTCACGGACTGTTTAGGAAAGGCCGGGGCGTCAGCGAGCTGTGTTCTAAGCTGGGCGCCCTGGGGCTTGTCCGGAGCCCGGCCCCGCCGTCCGCCCCGGCGCCCGGCTAGCAGCAGCCACGAGTAGGCGGCCGGGGCTCCGTCCCCAGAGCAGGAGGCCCCGGGGGAGACCTGGCGACCTTACGTGGCACCCCCTGACAAGTGTCTGCCAGAAGCGTGGTACCGGGGACGGTAAAGCCGGCGGACAGCGGGCTCGGACCGCACCCTAGGGCGGGAGGAACCCCGCGGACGGCCTCGCGGGCGGAGACCGAGCACGGCCGGCCAATGGGCGGCGGAGCCGGGGGCGGGGCAGAGGCCGGCGCGCGCCGGATTCCCGGGGCCAGCTTCCGGCGGGTGCGTGCGGCGGCAGCGTGGCGGGGCTTGCAGGTGCGTGAACCCCTCTGTTTTTAAGCCGGTGCGTGGCCTGCGTTTATGCTTTGGCTTGTGGATTTAAGCTCAGCGAGTGGTGCTACTATCGAGACTGGTTAGCTGGCGGAAAGAGTCGTGTGGTCTGCACGGCCTGGAGCGAGGTCGGCCTTGATCTCCTTTCCCGCTTTCTGGTTCTGAGATGGGGCCAGGTTTCCGTGTCTCTGTGCCTTTTAAAGACAGACCTGTACATCGGTGGGTTTTATCTTTGTCAATAACGGTTTAGCTGGACCACTTTAGTGTTTGGTTTCTACTTCTCTGACAAATCTTTGGGGATGTTTTTACCCGGTTTTTCTATTCTCTCTTTACCTGACTCTTACTTTCACCATAAGCTGCCTACTAATTAACTGACGCCCAAGAAAATTCTCTCCAGGTCTCCCAGGGAGTACCTGGGAGACTACGGAGCCCAGGCCCCTAACCCCTCCTAATGTAGGGAGCAGTACTGTTTCACAGATTCTGAATAGTAAATGAAAATTGTCTTCTTGCAATCCTGCTCATAGTCAAACTATACATAAGTTTGAGATGTATATATATATATAGTCTTCAGCTATTTCTAAGACAATGACACAGAGTTGAAAGAAAAGCCTTGCTGTACGTGTAGATGTCTTTCCCATGCCCCACGTGCTTGCAGTGACCCAAGAAGCCAAAGAAGGCGTTCCATCTGAGGAACCAGGGTTAGGATGTTTGTGAGTCACCATGTAGGTGATGGAGATTAAACCCCAGTCTTCTGCAAGAGTTCTAAGTGCTTTTAACTGATGAGCCACTCGCCAGACTGATTTTACTTTAAATATGTGATCCCAAACTAAAGTATCTATTTAGAATTTACAAACGTCAGTTTCCTTCTTCCTGTAGCCATCTTCTGCTTAGGTAAATGTCTTAATTTCTTTGCACACACACCCGTGTTTGGTGCTAGAATTTGAACACAGGGCTCTTTTTTTTTTTTTTTTTTTGAGACAGGGATTATCTGTGTAGCCCTGGCTGCCCTTGAACTCCCAGAGATTGACCTGCCTCTGCCTCCAGAGTGCTGGGATTAAAGGTGTGAGTGACTACTGCCGGGTTCGCAAGGCTTTATTCTAAGCAAACACTATTGGGTTTTTTTTTTCTTTTTCTTTTTTTATTTATTTATTAAAGATTTCTGTCTCTTCCCCACCGCGCCCTCCCCTTTCCCTCCCCCTCCCCCAATCAAGTCCCCCTCCCTCGTCAGCCCAAAGAGCAATCAGGGTTCTCTGCCCTGTGGGAAGTCCAAGGACCACCCTCCTCCATCCAGGTCTAGTAAGGTGAGCCTCCAAACTGCCTAGGCTGCAAAAACTATTGTTAAACTCCACCTACCGTCTTTGTTATTGTTGCTTCTGTTTGTGTAATGACTTGATAAATTGTTTATACCTGAGGTATCAGTTTAGGTAAGCAAAGTCGTATAACAAGTTAGCATTTCTTATTTCTGGGTACTTTGTAGTATACGATATTTTAATGTTTATCTTGGTTCATTTTTTTAAAAAACAATCTTTTCTCATTTTACATACCAATCCCAGTTCTCATTCCCTCCTCTCCTCCCGCTTTCTCTTAGAAAATTAGGCATCAATCTACGTCAGGACCCAGCAATACCATTCTTGGGCATATGCCCAAAGGATACACACTCATACCACAAAGACATTTGCTCAGCTATGTTCATAGCAGCATTATGTGGAAACAGCGTAGGTTCATAAGATATGGCGTGCATGTTTGCATGTGTTTGATCTCTGTCCCTCTTATTCAAAACGAAAAACAAAAAAATCTTAGGACTCACTCCAGAGGCAGCGGTAGCAATGTGTCTGAATTGTGGGTCAACCAGGACTCCATAGTGAGACACTATCTTAAAAACCTTCTTCCATTTAATCATGGGTGCCCCACCCTAGTGCCCTTACCTAAACCTAGTCATTCCCCAGGAACGCCATCTCTAAATATGTTAGTTACATTGTTTCCACTAATACCTCACAATATGTATTAAGTATAGCACATGAAGTGGGGAGGGCGCTCAGCCTAGCAAGAGCTGAACTGCCATTCTTTCCTGAACCTAACTATAAGCGTGTCTGCCTCATTATGGTTATTTGTTTCCAAGTCTAACCTCCAAGTTTCAAGGGCTTTTTGTTTTTGTTGGGTGTTTTACTTACATGCTTGTTTACCACACATGTACCTTGTGCCTAAGGACTTCAGTGAAGGTGGTTGGGTCCCCAGGGTCTGGAAGTACAGATGGTTGTTAGCTACCTTGTGTATGCTAGGAATTGGACCCAGGTCCTCTGGAAGAGCAGCCTGGGCCATCTCTCCAGCTCTTGTTTTGTTAACTGAGGCAGGGTCTTACTGTGCATCCTGGCTGGTCAGGAACAGTCATCTGACTACCTCTGCCACCTGAGTCCTAGGAGTAAGTGGGAGCCACCATGTCCTGCTATAAATCCCAGTTTCTGAAGAATGGACCTCCGGGTGAAAATGTGACTTGTATGAAAACATAATTGTGTTAAAATGCCATTTATAAAGTATGATTTCTGTAGCCAGGTGTACCTGCCTTTATTCCCAGCACTTGGAAGTTGGCTAAGACCAAACATTTACCATGAGTTTGAGGTTAGCTTGAGCAACATAGTGTGACTGTCTCAAAAACAAAGAATGACTAACAACATGGCTGAGCAGTTAAGAGCCTTTGCTACTCTTTCAGAAGACTGGGGTTCAATTACCAGCATCCACATAGTGGTTCACAACCACCCAAATACCAGTACCAGGGGGTGCAACAACCCCTTCTGCTTTCTGTGGACACCAGGCACACCTGTAGTACACAGACATACGTACATGGTGATACACAGCTTTAATCCTAGAATTTGGAATGCCAGGCAGATGGATCTCTGTGAGTTTAAAGGCCACTCTGGGCTACAGAAGATCAATGCAGAAACATTGGTGGATTGAACACCTTTAATCCCAACCATACAGGAAATATAAAATGGGAGGAGAGAGGCTTAGTTTATGATAGCCCAGCCTTGGCGGAATTAAGATTTCTCTAGTGGCTTGGCTGCATTGCTTTTCTGGTTGAACCCCAATTTATGTCTCTGGTTTTGTGTTATTCATGCTGCACATGCAGGCAAAACCCTGGCACACAGAAAAGATAACAAAATAAAACACCACCAAAAAAGAAAAATTGTGTTTTCTAAAATATATGCATTTTAAAATGTCAACTGTGGTTTTCTTTCCACAGGTTTTATTTTGCTCCTGAATCCCTGCTTTGCAGACGGCAATGGCAGCCCGAGTTCTTGTGATTGGCAGTGGAGGAAGGGAACATACTCTGGCCTGGAAACTTGCACAGTCTCTTCATGTCAAACAAGTGTTGGTTGCCCCCGGAAATGCAGGCACTGCCTGTTCTGGAAAGATCTCAAATGCTGGTAATTATGTTTCAGAATAGGAGGTGGTTGATAATAAGTGATAGCTCACATATCTATAATAAGGTAGTTTTCTGTTTAAAATGTAACATGAGCCAGGCGGTGGTGGTGCACACCTTTAATCCCAGCACTTGGGAGGCAGAGGCAGGCGGATCTTTATGAGTTCGAGACCAGCCTGGTCTATAAGAGCTAGTTCCAGGACAGGCTCCAAAACCACAGAGAAACCCTGTCTCTAAAAACCAAAAAAAAAAAAAAAAAAAAAAAAAAGTAACATGAATTCTACCTTTGTGTGGTAAACATAGTGTATTCTAAGCCTTATGAACCACTGTGACTAAAACGATAGCAAGTGCCCCGTGTAGATTAAAGGCATTTTATGTGTTATGTTTGAAAGAGTTCCTGAGTACATTCTCTGGGTTTGTCTGTTTACTGTGTAATCAACACTGGTGACAAGCACAGTCGCATTGTTGGTGTTGGGGAGTCACTGAACTGGCTGCAGTGATGGTAGACTACTGAGCTTTGTTTAACCTAATGCATTATTTGGAATATCTCATGGTGAAAATTACTCACTGTACCCACAAAAGCAAAACCAACGATTTTAGTTTTTAATTTCCTTACTAAGAATGGTACTTGTTTTATTTGGTTAGCTGAAGATATTTCTGTACATGTGTGGGTTTATGTTTTCTGTTCACAGCTGTCTCCGTCGATGATCATGCTGTCCTTGCTCAGTTCTGCAAAGATGAGAAGATCGAGTTTGTGGTGGTTGGACCAGAGGCCCCTCTCGCTGCAGGTAAAGTTTATGTCTCAGGGTTACAGCATGCTCGCTGTCATTAGAAGTTTAGAGAGCACTGGATCCAGGTGTGGTTAGGGATTCCTAATAGTACAATAGGCGAGGATCTTTCAGCCCCTGAAAGTCGGTGGGTTCCAGGTTTTGCTTTTACTCCCAGCCTTCAATAATAAAATGAAATAGGGATCAAATCCTGTATTTCTCCTACTCTATTCTAGTGTCTTTAGTGATCTATATTCAATCGGACAAATCCAGATATTCACATAGAACAATTCACTTTTTGCTAGGTCTTTTTTGTTTGTCTGGATGTTTTGTTTTGAAATGAGGTCTAGTTATAGTAATCAAGTTGATCTACAGTTTGTGGGCTCCTGCCTTATCCTCTTTGTTAGCTGGGGCTCTGATGCCACATTGCACTACTCCTTTTGCATGCCTAGAATCCCCTCTTGGTGATATGCTGCTAGTAAATAAAAGACGGCATGAAAATCTTAAGCTATTATAACTACTAGTTTGCCTGCTCCTTGACTAAATATACATTTAATCATAATTCATGTTCAGTATGAATCCCTAGACAGACCATGAA